AGATATTCTCGCTTGCGCGAGTTGCAAGAAGTGGTAGATGAATGCGCAGGTGGCCGTCTGCAGCCCTTCGGGAGAACTGACCAATGCATGGATGATTTGGACGCCCGAAATGGGTACGGAAAACATGGGTACAATGCCCAACAACAAATGTTGTACCAAACCAACAGCGGCCGCTGTTGGGCGGGCGGCCTTCTGTCTCGAATGGACACAGGCCGCGGCGGCGTGGACAGCGAATCCGGTTCAAAGTGAACAAAATCCGCTGTTGGGCATTGTACCCATTCTTTCCGTGCCCATTTCGTTCGTGCAGAGATGACTGGCAAACGATTTGGACCGTCCATGGATGCGCCGAGGTGTAGCTGCCAAGTGGTGCCAAGTCGTGGGCCCAGTTCCACGAAATCAGCGTTCAGGATGTGGGGAGTGCTTTGAGGAGTTTGAGGAGGTCGGCTCTGGGGCAGGTCAAGCAAAACCATGGGGCGCTGGATAATATTTCCGATGTTGGGTTGGAGACCCTTGCGCTGCTGTGCCGTACTTGCGAGAGGCTCCTGTGCTTGCCAGTGAACCGAATCCAGACACACCTTGTCAGACTTGGCAAACCGTCAAGGGTCCATCGGTTCATCGCGCTACTGAACGCCCTGCTTCGCAGTTGGGGCTTGCTCAGAAGACCCATCTCGAAGCAATGGGAAACTGGTAAAGGTCACCGAACATTCTGGGGCTCGGGTCCTTCCGGGAACTCTTCGATGCCGCGTTCGCTCATAATGTGGAGGTGGAAGTGGCGGGGGCGGCGGGGGAGCAGCGTTTCTGTACTGGTTTATATGACTAATTTCTACGAGCGCATTCTTGTTGAACGCCTCCTCGAGGAGGCCCGTGCGTCGTCCGCTCAAGTTCCGATGTGGTTGATCCTTTCTTGTCAAAGGTGCCCCGGGTGCATCCAGGCGTTCGGATCTCTTAGTGCGGGAGTGATCTCAAACCGCGGGATCCTTGCAGGTTGTGGGCCCGCTGACACAATGATGGATCTGCTCCTCCACCGCGTGGTGGACCGTGCCCGTAGCGTAATTAAGACGATCACCCCTCAGATTTTGATGGATGATGCCAGCTCTCAATGGGCCGGTTAGGGTCTGAGAATTGTCGGTTTTCTTTAGCGTAAGCTGCTCGCCTTGAGGCGTGGAGCCCCTGGTAAGGTCAGCACCTTGTGGCAGACAAGAGTGCTCCCCGCTGGCGGCCATGGCGCGCGTGTCTCAGGGGTCGCCGACAGCGCCCTCGTGGCTTTAAGAATCTTGCTGGCACTTTGAGGCGAGCCAAGATATCGGATTCTGTCATTGTTTGTCGCGACTCAAAAAAAGAATAATTGGACCGAACGTTTTATGCGCGCGTTCCGCTCGTGCACAGATGCGCAGCCATGATTTGGGATTCCAGGACCTCTCTTGGCAGATTGCAGCGGGCCTGTCAACGCATCAAGTCAAAAGTTGATGCCAAGTCTACTTTGTACAAGTGTAGAGGCCCTGTCTCAACCAATTTGCTCATATTGCCTCTCGTAGGTTGGGATCTGTCAGCAGCCCGCAAAGTTGTGAGCGATGTTGGTCAGGCTATCTCCCTCCTTACTGAGCCGCTCAGCGAGGTGCGCGCTGCGATGAAGCTTGACGTGCAGCGGTGGCAGGGCAAGCATCTGTTGCAACATGTCCCTGAAGCGTCAGATGTAGATTGCACGTGGATTAGGGGGCTCCGCCAAGGCATCTTAGAAACTCCATGCCCCAAACGTCATGGGGCAACCAAGTTTCTGGTCGGGCCGGCCACGCGGAACCATCTCGGCGCAAAGCAGCGGGATAAGTCACCCAGACCTTCGCCAGCTTTCTCTAGGGAAGTCCCAGGGACCCTCGGCCACCAGTTTCACGACTGTGACGGGGAGCTTGGCTACCAGACGAGCGCGGGATCAGCGCGCCCTGATGACGTCGTGGAATGGAGGAGGTTGCTTAGGGAACAAGGGGAAAGCGGGCTGGGAGACCCAGACTGGGACGCGCTCGAGCTCGCGGATGGTACCTGTACCCCTTGTCCCCGTTTCGAGGTCCGTCCGTTCCCGGGGGGCGGTCGGAACGCGTGGTGGCAGTCGCATCTGAGCTGACGGTGCACGGTTGGAGAGCAACATCCCTGAACTTAAACGGTGTGGGTACGCTGCTGTGGACTTTGGCTCTGATGGGCTTCGTCGCCGCACGGTGTTCGGCCCCCTCCCTGGATGGTGCCAGACAGCGCCGAAGGCCGATACATTGGCGATATTGCAGGCGCTTCGGCACGGTCCCCGCGACGCGGTGATTGTTTCAGACCGCTTAGGAGCTGTCATGGAGGGCCAGTCTTGGGCCCCGTTGCTCGAACGGGGCCACTCTAAGCGCGCTGGGATTTGGAGGGAGATTTTTGCTGTGTGCCCAGGCTGCTGTGCGAGGCTATCCTTCGTTTAGGTGAGAGCCCATAGGCTATAGGGATTGGAAGGACCTTGAGCCGCGGGCACAGCACATCCCAGATTTTCGCTGGGATTTCTGGGCTGACTTTTTCGCGCGCCCGGGTGCAGAGACTCGCGCCATAGCTCGGACAATCGCCTTGCTGACATCGAGCGTGATCTCCATGCTTTAAACCGATGTGCTCAGCCTGTTGCGGCGATGGCAGGTGTCAGCCCCAGCGGTGTTCTGCAGGTCCGACCGGATGCAGCACCGACAGCATGTCTGTCTTAGCATGATCTGTACAACTTCCCTGAGAGAGAAGAATGGAGGTGCCGAAAATGCAACCTGCTCGCTCGCGCGCCTACCTCCCTCCTCCAGCTCCGATCTGGTAGTGGGGAAGTGTGTGGGCCCAGAGCGGCCCAAGCGTGGCAAGCTGCCGAGTCCTTTCTGGCCCGTGGGCACCGCGGGGCCACGATGGCCAGTCAGGTTGTCCAAAGCGCTGTGGATTTTGCGGGCGAGTTACTGGGACTCGTAACCGGTGACCCCTGCGACCCAAAAACTTTGTCTTTGAAGCGGTTCGAGGGCCTGGGTCACTCTGTGGACAGAGTTGGCCGTGTTGTCTTTTGCTCCGCTTGCAATGCGAATGTGATTTTGCCTGACGGGTCTTGTCGTGGGCTTAGCCTCCAGTGCAATGGGCGCAATATCGATCCAAGTACCCGTGCGAACCAAGCACTGAAGATCAAGTATGCTGCCCGTAGAGCAACCCCCAAGTCCAGAAGTGCCCCCATGACTCAGAGTCGCCGTCTGTGCCCTCTGATGCAACCCCTGTCGCGCTTGGCTGGGGTGTGCATGGCGGGAGAGGCGATGTACCTTCGGGGGTCGCCCCTGCCAGTTCCTGCTCCTGGGGAGCGGGTGATGTGCAGGGCAGGCGGGGCAGTGCACCTTCGGGAGGTGCCCCTGCCACGCCCCCAGCCGCCGCTGCTACAAGCTCACCCCTCCTCGAGCCCGTCGACGGCAGGAGGCAACTTAGGCGGTCGGGGGAACTCTTCGCGAGGAAGAGGACGTCCACCCGCTTGTTGCTGTCAAGGTGGCTTCGGGGTCAGGCGACCCCGACTAATGAAATTGATGGGGAGGGCGTCGCAGACTCGCCCTCAGCCAGTCACAGCCGCGCGTCGTAGGCTTCAACATTTCCTGATGGCTCCCCCTCCGTACTGTGCCTGCCTCAACTTGGCCGTGCCCAGGCCTGTGCAGCGCCTCCCTCCTTCTGGATAACCAGCGCGCTAGTCCCTCCCCCAGACCAGTGCGCCTCCAGGCTGCATCCATCCTTCTACTCTAGTCTACTCCCACTCTACGCTACTGCTGCTCTGCTCTGCTCTACTCTACTATATTCTGCTCTTCTCTACCCGACTGTTCTCTCTACTCTATACTCTGCCCTACTCTACTCTACTCTGTTCTACTTTACCCGACTCGTCTCTACCCAACCGTACCCTGCCCTTACCTGCTTTACAACGCACCATTATAATACATCATACTCCTATCTCTACTCCATGATACTGCTACTCGAGTATACTCCTACTCTGCTCTAAGATGCTCTGCTTGTTTCTGCTCTGTTCTACTCTACTTGTCGGCAGTATACTCGACTCTACTTTACCATCTACCCTACTCTACTCTGTTCTACTCTACCCTACTCTGATCAAACCCACCCTGCCCTGCCCTAGCCTACTCCACATTACACTACTCTACTCTACTCCACTCTACTCCTAGTCCTACTCGCTCAACTCAACTCTATCGTACTTCATTACACCTGGCTCTACTCTACCATCTACTCTACCCTGATATGTGCTACTCTACCCTACTCTACTCTACCCTACTGTACGACTGTACCCTTGTATGTTATATGTTACCCAACTTTATTCGACTCCACTCGGATTCACCCTACCCCACGCTACCCTACCCTGCCCTAATCTTTACTGAGAATCCATAGCAGCTGAAGGCCATCGGCTCGTTCTCCGTAGTCGGCTCCGTCGTCGTCGTCGTCGTCGTCGTCGTCGTCGTCACCGTCGCCGCCACCGTCGCCGTCGCCGCCGCCGCCGTCGTCGTGGCCGTCGTCGTCGTCATCGTCGTCGCCGTTGTCGTCGTCGTCGTCGTCGTCGTCACCGTCGTCGTCGTCGTCGTCGTCGCCACCGTTGTCGTCGTCGTCGTCGTCGTCGTCGTCGTCGTCGTCGTCGTTGTCGTTGTTGTCGTCGTCGTTGTCATTGTCGTTGTCGTTGTCGTCGTCGTCGTCGCCACCAACGTTGTCGTCGTCGTCGTCGTCGTCGTCGTCGTCGTCACCGTCGTCGTTGTCTTCGTCGTCGTCGTCGTCGTCTGTTGTCGTCGTCGTCGCGGTCATTACCCCCCTCCTCGTCTTCCCACTCCCTCCCTCCCCTTTCCCTTCTCCCCCCCACCTCCGCTCTCGTCCTCCCCACACTCATTCCGCCCCCTCCCGCCTCCCTCCCCTCCCCTCCTCCTCCGCCCCCACTCCGTCGCAACGATCGTTCTGAAGAAGTCGGTGTCGAGGGGGTTACGCCGAACTCGCTAGCTGCATTCGACGCGGGGCGCCGCCGGGACTGCGCCATCCGCGCCAGCAACGGGCAGGCGGCCCAGCGCGGCCAGGTCCTGTGGAGGGGAGGGCGGAGGAGGAGGGGAGGGTGGTGTGGAGAGAGGAGGGATGAGAGGGGGAGGGACGAACAGGAGGAAAAGGCTGTTATGGGTGATGATTGCGAAAGTAATGGCAAGGAGGATGAGGAGGAGTGACCAGGGCCGCTCGTCCATGCGGCCGCGAGGCCCCTCAGAGCCTCTGCGCAAGGCCCCTTGGTGAAGGCTGTCGCACGCCCCTCGCGCCGCACCCGCCTTGTTCGGCAGGCTCAGCGTGGGACCCGCAGCAGAGCTTGGCCAAGATGGCTGTAGACATCAGGTGTCTGCGAGCCGAGGTCGCTGTCGCAGCAAGGCACCCTCGCGCGACCGAGCACCGCTGCCTGCAACCTATACTTCTCCCTTGGCGACCACCGCTCTCGGCGAGAACAATGGTCGGCCGCCCAAGGGCCCTCTGATCGGGTCACTGCTTGGCCCGTCTGGCCTGGCGTACTTTGGCCAGTAAGGCGGGTCGCCGCGCCGCTGTCAATTCTGCAGGGACCTGCTTCGTTTGCTGGATCTCTGCGGTCGTTCCGTTGAGGCACCGCATGCCCTCCTCCTCGAGCTCCTCAGGTGTGTACCGCTGCAGCTCTCTGTCCTCGTCGGCCTCAATCCCAATTTCGTAAGGTCGGCCACATCCTGCGCCCGTCTCGAGGTCGCGCTGCTGCTGCTGCTGCTGCTGCTGCTGCTGCTGCTGCTCGAGGTTGCGCGTCTTCCCCGGGTCGCGCTGGGCTTCGGCCTCCTTGGGCTGCTTATACTCGAAGTCCTGATGCTCCGTGGCGTCGTGCTGCTGCGCGTAGCCGTCGTCCTGCTCCTCGAGGTCGTGCTGCTTCCCAGAGTCTTCCCTGCTGCGCGCTGTCGTGCTTCTCCCCGAGGTCGCTCTGCTCCTCAAGGTTTTTCAGCCCGTCGGCACGTTGCGGCTCCGCGAGCAGGCCTGCCCAACTCTCAGGTGGGCCGGCTCCGAGTCCGCACGTCAGCTGCTCGCTGGCCCCCATGCCCTCGTTGGCGTGGAGACCTGTGTGTCCACCACCGCACCCCCGAGACCAGGGGTGATGCGGATGGCAACGTCCCGCGCCGCGCCCGCCCGGCCAGGTCGAAGATGCCGCCTCGTGCCAGCCTGAGGTTGCAGCGCCTGAGTCTGCCCTCCGCCACCGCCCTCGCTTTGCACACACGATCCGCGGGCGCTCGCACATCTGGCACACGGAACCTGGCGCCCTGCTGGGTTCGGTTAAGCGTTGTGCCTCCCGCTCGCGCGATCACGCGCGCCGCCGTACCGAAGGACTGCGCTGCGGCGTGGCGTCGCCGCCTGCCTCGCGGTTCTGCCGCAGGCCTGCTCTCCACGAGCCTCCGCTGCGCCGCCAGGCCCCCAGCGAGGACGGGGCCCCTGGAACTCCAGCTCCCGGGCCTCCGGCCGCGCCGCTGCGCGAACGTTGCCCACGCCGCCCACGCCGCCCCACGCGGGCCCAAGAACGTCGTCGTCGTCGTCGTCGTCGTCGTCGTCGTCGTCGTCGTCGTCGTCTCCGCCGCCGCCGCCGCCGCCGTCGTCGTCGTCCTCGTCGTCGTTGTCATCGTCGTCGTCGTCGTTTGTGGTCGTCGTCGCCGTCGTTGTCACCGTCGTCGTCGCAAACGTCGCCGTTGTCGTCGTCGTCTTCGTCGTCGTCCTTGTCGTCCTCGTCGAAGATGTCATCGTGCCTGGCGAAGGCGGATTTCCCCACGCCCAGGATGCCACTCAAGAGTGCCCCGGGATGCCACTCAAGAATGCCAGATCCCGCGACTTCGCGCTCGCGATCAGGCGGGGATTGCTGGGCGACTGGCCCATTCTATCTGATTTACGTTCGGGGCCGCGATGCTTCTTGGGTGCGGCCATGGGGCCCCGCCCATGCGCTGCGTTTGTGTGCGTGTGTGTGTGTGCGGGGGAGAGGGAGAGAGAGAGAGAGACGTATAGAGAGAGAGAGACTGAGATAATCAGAGACGTGGACAGAGAGAGAGAGAGAGAGAGACAGAAAAAAACACGCACACATGAGTGTCATACACATGGGCACAAAAACCGTGGCCGCACGTGGCGTCGTAACATCGCCCCGCGGCTGCGCGCCAGGCTCAGTCTGCGACGGCCATGACGCTGTCTTGTTAGAGTTGCGGCAAGGCATCCTCGCCCCCCCGGCTTGGACAGCGTGGCCGAAAACTGTTTCGGTGTAAACGCTTCCGTTTGAACTGCAGTGGAAGTAACTTGGATAACCGAAGCCACAAGACAATGAACCTGACTGGGTCAGCAGCTGGCTACCTTGCAATACAGCCCAAGAACTTCAACTGACAATGTAAAAACATCCGCCGCCGTGCCTGCACGGAGTGGGCGTGTGAAAATACCCTTCGTGCTTTCTTCACTAAGCAAGCATATTCGCTAGGACCGACCTCCCTCGTCGCACGCATCATTCGACATAACTTGCCCCGCCGTCTCCAGAACCAATGACGGGCCATCACCAATATAAAATGACAGATGTTAGCAAGCATGGGCCCCAAACGGCGAGCTGCCGCTATGTTTGCTGGGTGATCTATGTGACGCTGGCTATGCTGAAAAAACGATGTGGTATTACATTTGTTGCGCCGGCGACGTGGTGGGAACTATGTTTTGCTAGCTAGGTCGTGTAAGCTGCGTGGTGTGCGATGGATTGTATCAACTACCTGGTGTGGCCTAATGAGCTACGTTGTGAAGGCTCAAGCCGCTCGCGGCTCCTGCCCTCTCTGGATGATTCAAAGGAGCGCGGAAACCGACGAATTGGCTGGGCATGCGGCTGCGCAAACTCGGCCTCCATGCTTAGTCGGAACGAGAGCTGCCTCTGCCAAGCTCAACGCCCACCTTGCAAACAAAAAACTACTACGTGCAAGTAGCGATGTCATCGAATGCTGAAATGAACAAACCCGTGCAAGAAAGAGAGAGCCATCCTCCGCCACCCCCTGCTGCCATAGCCCAGTTTCAATCGAACCACCGGCTCTCCGACGACGGACGTGCTTGCAGGCGTTGCATGGTAATGTCGCCAAGTGCGCCCTCGCTAAGTGGACAAGGCAAGAAAAGCCAGACGACCTTGGGCGCGTCGGCGGCGATGGCGGAACTCAGCCGCGCATGAAACTGCCCACTCCTTCATGTCCACAGACGCGAACGGCGTGTGGATACAGTTGCTTTCCCCATTCCAGCTGTGGTTCCCCAACTTCCTGGGCGCATTTGCCTGTCATTGGCGTCAATGTCCTTGGGTAGAACACGGCGCCCCTCAAGGGGTACCCCATCGGTCCCTTGGGCGGCCTTGGAACAAAGAAGTAGCTGATACTTCAGGAGAATATGTGTCATTGGCTTCTGTCCTGTTCTCTCCCGGACCTCGCCGTTCGAAATGTGTAAAATCATTGAATACTTGATGCCGCTAGTCACTCTGAGCAGTCCTGCATGCGCTCCGTCTAACCGTCTCCTTTCAACTGCGATTAAGCACGCGGTGCTGAGGCTGCACATCAACTTCGGTATACCCATTGCGCCGGATATTGCAGCATGATAGATCAGTGGCCCCGGACCTGCTTTAGCTGGCACAACTCACAGAAGGCCATCACGAGTCTCCGCGTAAGTTCTGCCCTCACGCGGCCGTCTCTGTTCACCGTGGCGTGGCACCTAAGTAAGACAAGGTGTCCTTGGCCTGTACTTCTTGTCCGTCAGTTGTCCGTACTCGTCCGCTGCACCTGATTCTTCAGCACCTGAAGTTTCCGCCACTGCCTCGCTAAACCCAACTCCACTGCTGCTGTGCACAACGCCTGAAGCCATCGTTGCGTGTCGCCCACTATTCTGGCCGTGAGTAGCTTGTCATCCGCGTAGAGGAGCTGCGAAAACTGCCCCCTGCGCGCCGGTTGAATCCTCCGCATCGTGCGTCACGACGTACATAACCATCACGAAGAAGAAAACTCAAAATGGGCATCCCTGGGGAATCCCAGACGCCTGTACCCTCTTCTCGGAGACATCGCCCTTGCCCCGAAAGACAGAAGTGCGCTCGTGACAGATGGCCCTGACACCTTCCAGCATGGCATTGGGCAGCCCAAAGCGACCAAGTACGCGAAGTATTGAGGCTATGTTTACTCAATCGTATGCCTGCTTCCAGTCAAGTGCCAATAGATGAATGTTCCCATCTTTCGCCGCCGATCCTTGCTCAATGTACTTTCGCAACATGCAGATTGCGTCGTGGGTGCTTCGTACACCAGATTGGTACTTGGACAAATGACCGTCGGCGCCTGCTGCCAAGAGCCACCTGAGCACAAGGGACGCGAATATGTTCCACCCCAGCGGTAGCAAGATCGGCCTAACATTGGCCAGATTGTCAGTGTCGCCCTTCTTGTGGATGGTCGTGATCTGTGGGAATTGCCCGCCGCCGCCAACACAATTTCATAAAGTCGGCAGCGTTTCAAGACAACCGTGGTCACCACTCAGCGCCTTCCCATATTCCACCATGATCCCGTCCTCTCCTGACGCGCGGTTGTCTTTCAACCCATGTCTAGATCTCACTCCCCAGCACTTTTCCAGTTTCTTGAATTTGCCGAGGGGTCTATCTATACAGATAAGGGGTTCTCACGTATCCTAGTCACAGCATGTTATACCACACCGATCTTAAGATTGCCAAGTCAGAGCTTGCCTCTGTAGGAGTCCTGACGGATTCATTCCCCAATCAGAGCTTGCCTCTGTAGGGGTCCTAGCAGATTCAAATGGTTAGGTGATGTTTGGCGACGATGTCGGCGGCACGCCCGGGTGCCTGAGTGCCCGGGTGCCCCGGTGCCCGAGTGCACGGGTGCCTGGTATCCCTATAGCACTAAAGCCCTATAGCCCTGTAGCGCTATAGCCTTATAGCCTTATAGCCCTATAGCCTTATAACCCTATAGCCTTATAGCCCCAATAGCCCTATAGTACTATAGACCTACTATAGCCCTATAGCCTTACAGCCTTATAGACTTATAGCCCTATA